GTATCACTCAGGAGACCCTGCAAAAGTAAGGGGGGGATTCAGAGAACGGAGACGGACGCTAACCCGCAGCCATAATGATTTGCGGCACAGACTAGAAGTAAAGACTGGAGAAGGCTTCACTGGGGTCCATAAGGTGGGAAAATAGCGCTGTTTATATTCTTAAATTCGCCTCTTCTCAGCCATGCTGGACACACAAACCAGCAGTGCGGAGGAATCATTTGCTATTTCATGCCGCTGTACAAGGCCTAAGGTCAGACTATCTAATGGACTTCGTGCTCATAAAAGTCTGTTGCCTGAAGGTTTAACCTCAGCGAGGAACCTTATAGATCGACACCGGAATATACTGCTCATTTGTTAGACATTACGCCTCCACTACCAGATGGCATAGGACTCCATTAACAAGGACGCAGGTGGATGACACGTGAAGAGTTCTTATAAAAATGACTCATTTATTTTCTCTTAATGTTTCTGATAGTTGAAGTCTGTGTGAGTTTTCAAGTTCACAGAAATAAAACGGCTATGGCGGCGATTGACAGCTTATTACACGTGAACAGTAAATTTCACTTAAGTTCCACTACTAACGTAGTGATGTTATCCGAGAGAGATCGACGTATTTTACTAGGATAACGCCCAGCTTTTCTGTTTGAAAAAAAATGTACGGAAGCCGATCAGTTTTATGTATAAACTGCTGAAACTACTTGAGCAGGGGAGTACAGCTTTGAGGTGAATTCTTCCAGGAGAAGAGGCAAGTGCAGGAAGAGGGATAAGATGAGATAGAAAACAAAACTCACCTCTAGTGGTGAGAAGTCGCGCGTCAGAGCTGCGGAGTGGACACCTGCGAGGAGCTGGATCCGCGACTCCTCGTTGAAGGTAAGGGGCAGAAGGGTCTAAAGGTCAAACGGGTTCATTGTTTTAAGCCTGTTCGGGCGCAGAGTGGGGTGGACACCGACCAAAAAGTAGACCTAACTTGAAATCACACAGGCGGATAGACAGGTAAAAGTACCTTCAACACGCCTACTGCCCCTCCCACCGTCTACTCCTCAACGAAAAGCATCTATCAAACAAAGAGAAAAACTGCAATACCGCACGTTGTAACGAAAATGCCGTAGATGAGTCAGTCATACTGACAATAAAGTACGACTCTCGCCAGCTTTCAGTGTTCCAATCCGAAAATGAATATGAGTACACACACACAGGGTCTTAAGACTAATCAGCGAGGTTAAGTAAGTATACGCGAAGAGTTACGTAGGGCTTAAGCAGGCGATTAAGTAATTTGTGAAGTCTGTTTATGCAAATGGGAGGCAAACTTCTGTAGGACACGGGAATAGGAACTCCTCGCCCGGGAATCGAGAGGACGCTGCTCAAAATTCCAGGGAAATTAGGGTTAGAGGGACGCGGGAGTATCTACCTCAAATACGACGTAGCAAAATCTCACCTGTATTTATTCATTCACTATCAAATTCTACATGAAATAAATACGGGCACGCAATCAATTTTAATAGCCAATCCCCCCAATGCCAGCGTCTGACTGGAAGAGGAAAGGTGTGTGGAAAAGATCTAGTTTGTTTATCGTTTTTGTGTAATTCCATGCCTCAAGGTGTTGTACAAATCTGATATTTGGCCCTCATACGTTTTTTTCGGCAAAGCCGCTGCCCGATGCTGGAAGCGATAATTCATTTGCCGCGAGCTACCATTGCCAACGTTTGTCGGCACAGTAGTAAACTGCGTACGAACTGAATTATCAGGGGGAATACGTGAGCAGCTCTGTTCTTTGATAGCCAAACTGAGGTAAGGAGTCTGAAGATGGTCTCCAGCACAAAAGCAGACTCGACACAACCCCCCCCCTCGTTATATACGCGTGCCACGACAAAGCTGGCCTCTATCTGATAAGTAGAGCAATCTTCACAGAAGTTCACTAGCGCAAAAGAAGTAGGCTGGCCAGCTTCATCTGGTTCAGCATTTTATCAAAAACGGTTGCGGAGATGGACTCTTCGGCGCAGAACAACAAATGATAAATGGGCACCAGAATGAGTCTGGACGGAATAGCCACCTAGTTCACCAAGGAGCGTGGGGCAACTTTAAATCCATTGGAATGATTAATCTGCAATGGACATGCAGAAAGCGCGAGACACTACGGCCACGTGAAACGATGATTCCTGTACAAACTATGCAAACCCAAATGAAGTGGAAGATTTTTTGCAGCGTTATCTCGGCGATATTGGCTGACTCACGCAAAAGAAAGGTTACGTTCCTGTGAATACAAAGGTGTTACTCAGTGGTCGTTGATACCTGTTAAATCCTTTTCACACAGGCCTGGGCAGGTACGGGCGAGTTCAGTGCAGTACGACCGGAAAACCACCACCGGAAGGACCAACACCCCTCATACGCGTCTTGACTGCACAGACACGCACTGGCACAGCGGATTCAGACGTCGCGTTGGCCTATGCAGTAGCGTGCTATCGCTGAAATGCCTCCCCCCTTTAATTCATGCAACTATCAGGAGATGATGTTCGATGTCATTAGCAACAGACGGCACATCATGTGTGCGTGTTTGTGTGTGAAACAATAACAGCCAACCAACGTCACCTATGTCACCTTCAGAGGGCTTGGCTTGGACAT